ATGGAAGTCAAGTGCGAGGAGGACTTCCTTCACCTTGTTGTGCCACTCACGAGGAGCCTGCTTGAGGCCATACACTGGGCGCTTCAGCTTCCACACTGTGTTGGCAGGGTAAGTGCCAGGAAACCCCGGTGGGCGTTCCATGTGAACATCCTTCTTGAGCTGGCCTTGGAGAAAGGCGGAGGAGGCATCCATGGACTTGATCTCGAAGTTGCCGCGAGCGGCTATATCAAGAAGAGCGCGCACAGTTGGGAGCTTGGCCGTGGGCGAGAATGTTTCGAAGAAGTCGAGATACTCCTTCTGGGTGAAACCCTTCGTCACGTATCGTGCCTTGAACAGTGGAGCTTCGCCTGGGAGTTGTTTGACTCGGAAGATCCATTTTCCGCCGACGATGTTGACACCGGAAGGGGGAACAACATCGTCAAAGCTGTTGTTGCGAATGAATGCCTCGTTCTCCACATCCATTGCTGCCTTCCACTCCTTCTTATAAGGCCCCGAGAGAGCTTCCTCTTTTGTGCGAGGAGTCGGAATGGTCGGGTTCTCGGTGAAGTCGAGGGAAGGGCAGTCAGTAATGTCCGGGAAGATGTGAGAGAGAAATTGGCAGACCGCGTGAAGGTCAAACAGCTCCTCATGCCTGTCCTCCAGAAGTGCACGGGGGGGAATACGGATGGAGGGGACATCACCCCCGGCAGGAGGAGGTGGGGTGACCGAACACCGGATGGAGAAGGCGGCTGGTCCCCATGCGAGAGGTGGAGCCGGTCCCTTGGAACGAGTGCGACTAGAGACCGGAGACGAAGGTGGCTGCGGTGGGATCGAAGGGACTAGGCGCCTCCGATAGGAGACTGGTGAGCCGGGCTCGACGCGCGGGGAAGGCGGAGCAGGAGGAGGTGCCGCTGCGGAGGATACTGGGGAGGCCGGGTGAGACACGCCGGACGAAGAAGGCCCCGGAGAAGGGGCAACGGCCGGAGGTGGGGCATCGAAGTCTGCCCAAACAAGCGTCGGGGGAGGTGGAGGAGGCTCGCCCGTGGTCGCAGAGTGGAATGGGCGTGTCTCATCGAAGACGACATCACGGCTGCGAATCAGCTTTCTGGTGATTGGGTTGAGGAATAAGTAGTCTGGGGAGTCGGAGTTGTGCCCCAGGTACATGCAGGTCTGGGTTTTGGGACCAAGCTTGCCACCTTGCTTCCTGCGCATGTGGGGGCTTAGCAACACATACGCGGTACACCCCCAGACGCGTAGAGAGCGGGCGGAAGGCGTGACCCCAAGCCAGAGAGCGGTAGGTGTGGTGTCAGGATTTGGGGATGCGGATAAAGATTGTAGAGGAGTGCCGCATGGAAGAGGGCATATCCCCAGAGTGACCGTGGTGCGTTGGCGTGACTGAGGAGGCAGCGAGCGATCTGAACCAAGGTGTGGTTGCGGCTCTCTGCAATGCCGTTCTGCTGCGGGCTTTCGGGGAGCGTGAAGGTTTGCCGAATCCCTTGGGCCGCACAGAAGTTATCGAGTTTGCCATTGCGAAATTCTCCCCCGCCATCAGAATGGAGGCACTTCAGAGGAGTGCCGAACGTGACTTGAGCCTGGCGCACCCACGCCATGATGACATCAGGTGCCTCCGCCTTGGTATGCAGGAGGTGCACAGAAACATACCGCGAGTGGTCATCGACTAGTGTAAGAAAGTATCGATGACCGCCTCGGGATGCGACTGGAACTGGGTCCCAGACATCCATGTGCACTAGGTCCAGCGGAGCAGCTGCAACGGATGGGGAGGAAGGGTGCGGCTGCTGCCTGAGCTTGCTCTTGGTGCAGTCCAGGCAGGTGGGTGCAGGTGAGTCTGTTGGTGGAGGAAGCGCCGACGGGAGGCCAAGAAGAAGTTTCTTGGAAGCGATGTCGGCAAGTGTACGGAAGTTGGGGTGACCCAAGCGATGATGGTAGAGGATGGTTGGGTTGGCGAAGCTGCGACACGAACACGGAGTGGTGCTGGCAGCTTGCACTTGGGAGAGGGCGGCGAGAGGTGCAGGTGAACGCAGCATGTAGAGCTTGCTACTGTTGAGTGTGAAGCGTGCTAGGAGCTTGTTGGACTTAGGGTCGAAGAGGTCACAGTGATCTGAGTGTGCTGGGAAGATCGTGCTGACGCCTGCCCGTTGGAGCTCGTGTTGGGCCACGAGATTGTGGCGTAGTGTGGGAACACACATGCCAGTCACACTGCCCGAAGGAAAAGCTGGGCACGGAACTGTGGAGGAGCCCTTGGCGTGTGTTGTGAAACTGGAGTCTGCTCCAAGTAGATGGATTGGTGTCTCGTATGGCTTGAAGGAGTGTTCTTCCTTGAGAACCGTGTGAGTGGCCCCACTGTCGAGGGTGAACTCTATTGTGGCTGAGGTGCTTTGTGAGCCCGGATACTGCGAAATCGTCTCATTAACCATGGCAGTGCCAGGGAACAACATGTTGAGGCGCACATCAGCAGGTGCAGCCACAGCAGCCTGCACGGATTCCTGCGCTTCGACTTGATTGACTTGGCGAGGAGCACGATTGACCATCCAGCTTGGCGGCTTGGAGGCGGTCCCATTGACGGCATACCACTCGTCATCCTTCTTCTTAAAGCAGGAGGCAAGGCCGTGGTTGGTGCCGCCACACACCTGGCCAGCATGAGGGCCGCCCTTGATGACGTAGGGACACGGGGGGAAGCGGTTGCGCTGGAATGGCGTTGAAGCGGCATAGGCTTGAGGCACGGGAGCGCGGATTGCATTGGCCTTGGCTTGAGCACTGTTGTCCTTTTCGGCAGAAAGGAGCGCGGATGAGACCTTGGCAAATGTGAGGTCCACAGGAGCAAGGCCCAAGAGCATCTTGCGTGTGACTTCGTATGCAGGAGTGAGGCCGACTAGGAGAGCGGCTGCAGGGGCTTGCTCGGGGAAGACTATCCCCAACTGTTTGAGTTCACCATGAATGGACTGCACCTTGGTGACATAGTCCGCCATGCCTGGCGAGTCCTCGAGCCGCACTTGGAACATGCTGGGGATGAGTATAGCAACTCCCATTGCAGTCTTGTTCAGGAAGTGATCTTCGAGGTAGAGCCAAATGGCGTTGGCAGACATGTAGTTGTGGTAGGTTTCGACGAGTTCGGGAGGAGTGGTGCCCATGAAGACACTAATGACTGCACCATCGGCCTTCTCCCAATTCTTGTACTTGAGCAGTGCAGCAGCATAAACTGCTTCGGCGGCGGCATTAGCTGGATCGGCGGACCTCTCGGGTTGAGGAGGCTCTTTGCCGTCACCGATGTTGAGAAGGACGTCGGTGAGCTCGAGCCCCTTCACCTCGCGACTGAGGAGGTGCTTGTCGAAACCATAGCGCCAAGCCTTGTAGTTGGAGCATGTACCGTCCGGTTCGAGACGAAGGAGCGGGATCGGGTTGGCGAGTGAAGTGGTTGAGTAAGCCATTGTCGGTGTGCAGCGCGGCACTTCTGGAAATTGGTCGACGAGAATTGCTGAAAATCACTCTGACGGCTGTATCAAAATGCCGCTAAGTAGGAAATGGCGTCGGCGAAAATTCGTTAAAACGCCGACTTGAAACTGAATCTGAGCCTATGTCTAACCCCGGACCCACACACCCCCCCACACACCCCCAGGCCCTGTCCCGCAGCTACACAGCTCTGCAACCAGCTCCGCAACCAGCTCCGCTCCGCTTCAACCTGTGTACCTGCTCTTGATTTGACGCGAGACGTTCGTGGAGGCGATTTCGCGATTTCGTGAGTGCGTCCATAGTCGGGGTACAAGCCAGATTGGGAGTATGTCCGCATTTTCCCCCTCGATGCCATCCTCCGGCGATTAGTCCTTATTTTTTAAGTTTTCTGGTTTTCTTCCTTGCCTGCGGCATGGTTTGGCAACTGACAGAGTGAAATGGTGGGAGTGTTAGATTCATCGTGATCATCTGGTGAGCTACATTCTGTGCTGTCGTTCATGTATTTGTTTGTTTCGTAACCGTGACCCCAAATCTCTTAGGTTCAACTGCCCATACACTTCCTTCCCATTCCCGAGAGCGTCCCTCGATTCGTTTGCATCTGTTTCATACATGGCCTCCCCAAACATCCGCCCCCAAACACCACCCCCACCCGCACATCCTCCCCCTCTAGGCACGACTCCGGAGGTGTCTGAGCTCAACCTGTTCTCGTCTCTGGGACGGGTGCAAGAGCACATGCGTGGCATGTGTTGGTTAGAGAAGGCTATAAGCAGATGATTCAATGGCTCCTTGGAAATTGCTGCAGCACTTCGTTATGACGCCCAGAAAACTCGCGACCTTCGAAATGCTATATCCAGAACTCCAATCGGTGAAACGATATGAACATCGGATATGTTGGAGCTTGCAGCGTCAGCTTTTCACTGAAAGTTGAATCACTCGATTCCGTAGCTTATCGAGTGAGCTATGGCGTTTGGCGCACCGAGGGGTAATCTGCCCTAGGAGAAGTTGACAGTCCTCAGAGTCACTATAATTGAAGCTTACAAGAATTCAAAGGCATGATGGAAAAGGCATTGAAGCACAGTTGGAAGGTGGGGATGGAAGGGAAGGATGAAAGGGAAGGACCCTGGAGGCCCATGGTCAAGAACATGACAAGAGTCAAAGTCTTAACTCCCCATCCTCAGGTTCAACCAGCCTGGCAAGACAAAATTCACACTGTGCCAGGTTGGCCTCCAACCCCCAAATGCTGCAGCTGCAAGGTGAGGACAAAAGTCCCACACATGCTGGTCCCTCCTCGTTATAGGGCTCTCCAACTTTGGTCTAGCAGCTGCCAAGGACTTCCAATGAGTTGTAACAAATCCATCAAACACTTTTTCGTAACTTCTTCACATGTGCTCCGATTCCAACAATTCTTGGCTCGTTGAAATGTGCTCGATGTCATGCACAATCCAAGCACATCTGCACAAGCACAAGATGAATATGCAAAGACATACAAACCCAACAAACCACACAAACAACATAGCACACAAAACACATGCAACAAAATGATGCGAACCGACGACAGGATGACGTGCAAACGAATATGCATCAACACACTCCCCCTCAGACTGTCGGCTTGTTTCGCCGTCTCTAGTTCAAGGACATTCCCGCCATCCTCGCACAGCGCCAGTGTGGCTCTTCAGCTAGCCGCTTGGTAAGGAAGTCGGCTGGCTGTTGCTGAGTTTTCACGTAGATCGGATCCAGTGTCCCAAGCTTCACCTCCTTCCGCAGCCAATGCCACTTGATCCTCATGTGCTTGTTCAACCCATGAAGAACTGCATTGCGTGCCATGGCAATGGCTCCCTTGCTGTCACTGAACAGAGGTGTCGCACAAGTCTGTTCATGGCCGATCTCCTTCAAGAGCCTCCTTAGCCAGATGATTTCTTTTGCCGCATGAAACATCGCCATGTACTCAGATTCCATTGAAGATAGTGCCGTCTCAGACTGCTTCTTGGACCTCCAACTTACAGGCCCACCTCCCACCATGCAGATGTATCCGCCTACTGATGATGAATCCTCATGTTCAAAAGCCCATGTGGCATCAGCAAAACAGGAAAGGAACACCTTTCCTTCTCCGAGCTGCTCCCCCTTCTCTTTGAGGACTTCAACTCCCTTTTGCCTGAGTTGAGCAGAGGCTGAATACTGTACTCCCACTGTAGGGTATGACTTGAGGTAGCGCACCACTCTCTCCGCTGCACCATACTGCTCTTCTGTTGGATTTTGCACTACTCGAGCCAGCTGTCCCACAGCAAAGCTGATGTCAGGCCGAGTATGCACAGCAGCGTAGAGTAGGCTCCCGACCATGGATTGGAATTGCCTCTGGTCTTCACACTCAACTCCTTCTCCTTCAGCTGCCTTTATGAGTTTGAACTCGGAAGGCAAAGGTGTGACCACTGTCTGTTCTTCCTGCAGAGAGTACTTCTCAGCCAAGGTGTTGATGTACTGTCCCTGATGCAGTTTGAGCCAGCCACGTTCAGTATCCCGCTCAATGTGCATTCCTTGGTAGTACCTTGCCTCTCCAAGTGACTTGCACTTGAACTGCTCTGTGAGCTTCCGCTGCACCCCATCGATCTCCTTGTCACTGCTGCCGAAGAGCAGGATGTCATCCACGTACACAAGCAGAAGCACAAGCGACTCCCCCTCGCCCATCAGGAATAGGCTCTCGTCGCATGCACTCGCACGAAATCCAATCCCTTCCAGTGCACTGGCCAGCCTGTTTTACTAGCATCTCAGGGCCTGCTTCAAGCCATAGATGGCCTTGTTAAGTTTGCAGATACGACCGGTTCCATCCTCATAGCCAGGTGGTTGAACCATGTACACCTCCTCTTCCACAATGCCGATCAGAAAAGCGGTTACGATGTCCATCTGCTTCACCTTCCATTTGCGCACAGCATCTACTGCCAGCAGCACACGTAGCGTTGGAGACTTAGCAGTTGGGGCAAACACTTCTTTGTAATCTTCCTTCTCTTTCTGCTGAAACCCGTTTGCCACCAGCCTGCTCTTGTAAACTGATGGCTCTCCTTTCTCATCCGTCTTGATTTTTGCCAGCCACTTGCACTGTATTGCCTTCTTCCCATTTGGCAAGTACACCAGGTCCCATGTGATTCTCCATCTGGCTGTTGTACTCTGCATCTCTTGAAACGAGCCACTTCCCCCGTTGAGGCCCGGCTAGCGCATAATCCATGCTCGGAGGTTGTATTGGTGCGTAAAAGCAGTATGCAGGCTCCTCGTCATCTGACTCTTGGTCATCACCCAAGAACAGCACCGCATCTTCGCCTTGAGCCTGTTCCTGCTGCTCAGTTGTGGCTCCTCCACTTGTAGAGCTCAGCAGCTTTCTCGTTGCCATTCTGGTACGTGCAGGGTAGAGGGTTGGATTTACCCATTCTTTCACCTTCACCAAATCCTTTGTCTCCCCACCAATCTGTTTCCTTCGCTTTGGCAGACTTGATGTTTTGGAAGCCTCTTGCTGCTGCTGCTCCGGATCCTTGACTTCAGCATCAGCTGTAATATTCTCATTGCTTCCTTCATCAGTACCGCTCGCCGTTGGCGCAGTGACTTCGCTGTCCTAAGGTTCGGACAAATCGAAGTGCATAGTGATCTCTTCCAGCTGCTGAGTGACCCTTGCCTCCGGCTGCTTCTCCCACTTGCCATACATGATGTTCTCCACAAATTTGACATCCCGACTGTCAAACAGCACATTCTTTGAGGGCTCCCAGAGTAGCCACCCCTTGCTCTGTGCCGCAAGCCCAAGGTGCACACACCACAGTGCAGATGCTCCAAGCTTTGTCCTGTACGGTTTAGGGACATGCGCCACTGCCATGCATCCGAACACTCTAAGCATGTCCACTGGAGGCTTGTTTCCAAGCCACCTCTCCAGCGGCACCCACATATCATCAGCCACCTTTGTGAGTACGCGGTTCCTTGCCACTGTAGCATGCCTCACCGCATGAGGCCACATGGAGTTCCCCAGCCCTGATTCGATCAGCAGCGCTCGCGCAGTTTCCAGGATGGTCCTATTAGCCCTCTCAGCAACGCCATTTGACTGAGGGGTATAGGACGTCGTTAGCTGATGCTCAATGCCTTGTTTCTTGAGCCACGCAGTCAGATCTCCTCCTAGAAACTCTCCACCTCGGTCGGTTCTGATGCTCTTGCATGGGTGCCCAGATTGTCGCTCGACGAACGGCAGCCAGTCATCTCGTATTGTTGAGGCAGCATGATCCTTCTACTTCAACGGGTATGCCCACATCAGCCGACTCCAGTCATCAACTATTGTCAGGAAGTACCTTTCCCCCTTACTTCCTCGGACTGGAAAAGGTCCTACGAGGTCCATGTGCACCAGTTCCAGTGCTGCCTTGCTTTTCCCAGCTATGCCATAAAAGGGGAACCGTGTGAACTTGCTCAGCAGACACGTCTCGCACTTGGTATCATTTGGTTGCCCAGAAAGCTTGAGCCCCTTTACTGCTTCTTCCTTATGCAGTTGCTGCAGCAATGGCATAGCCACATGCCCTAGACGCTTGTGTGCGGTTTCCCAATCAGTCTCCCCCGACCTTGCAGAAACCGTCACTCCTGCAGCACTACCTCCATTACACTCCCCCTGGACTCCAGATCCCGCCTTAACTTCTCCCAACTCCTTCTTTGTTGATTCCCATATCAGTGCAGGGATCTGCCACATGATCTGAAGACATCTCTGCTTTCGTGTAAATCCCATAACACACGATCTCCTCGCAGCCCCTTGAATGTTTTGGATCCATTGGTGGTGGTGCTGACTCCGGCCTGGCCTAGCTTGCGCAGCGATATCAGATTGGCCTTCAGCCCCGGTACGAGTAACACGTCCTTCAGCACAACCAGTCCACCATCAGGTGCTCTGAATGCAGCTCGACCAACTCCAGCGACCTTCACTGCATGTCCAGATGCTGAGCGCACTTCGGAGATTGGAGGCGCTCGCACAGCATCCAGCAAGCTCTTGCGTGATGTCATTGTCCATGCAGCACCAGAGTCCATAACCCACATGTCAAGCGGGTGCAATTCTTCTCCAGCCCTTGCAACAGCTGTGCCACTGTCATCTTTGTCACACACATGGTAGAACTGTCCAGCATTCCTCTCCTCATTTCCCATTCCTCTGTCGTCCTTGGAGGTTTCTTCAGCAGGATCAGCTACCATATTGGCACCTCCATGTGGTTGCTTTCCTCCATTCCCCTTTTGCGATTGGTTCCAAGGGGTCCACCAGTCGGGCTTGGTAGAGCAGCGAAACCATGGATGCCCTTCTTCCTTGCAATACCAGCACTCTCCCCTCAAGCGTGGTTCACTGTTATCGTTGTTTGAGTGACCACCTCTTCCTCTTGCACCAGCGCCACCATGCCCCCGCTGGTTCCAAGTCCCGCGACCACCTTGGTTGTAGTAAGAGCGACCGCGATTGCCACGCCCTCGATCTCTCCATGTCCCTTGCATGGCATAGCCGCTGGTGCTGTCATCACCTCCACGCAGTGTATAGCGACGAAAATCTTCTTCCAGAATCTTGGTGCGAATCCACTCCAATGTCCATTGACTTTGGTTTTGTGGCAAGCTGAGTCCGCTTATAAATTGCAGCCAAGACTCGGGCAGCAGGCTGAGCATCTTGAGACACTTTGTCTGCTCTGGGTACGTGATGCCAGCAATCGCCAATTTCGCGTAGAGTTCCCTCATCTTGTCCAGTACGGGCTGCACAGGTTCATTCTTGCTCAACCGCAGCATGGACAGCTCCCGATCCAGCATGAGAGAAGCGGCAACCGATGTCGGAGCGTGCAGGTCCTTGAGCACCGCCCATGCCTTGGGCCCACAATCAGTTTCCGGTAGCAGATGCATGATGTGATGCCTCTGGTTCAGCTCCAAGCTTTGTGACAGTAGATAATACCCAGCAGATGAACGTTCATCCCAGTCCGCTTGCTCTGCCATTTCCTTTGGCCTGGGCTCCGTTCCAATCATGAGCTTCAAGAGGCCAATTTGTCGAAAGTAGAGCTGCATCTTCCATGCCCAATCATCATAGCCATCTCCAGAGAACTTCTCAATGGTGAAGTTCTTCAGCACCTCCTTAAGCAGTGACCCCTGGCTTGTACGCGCTCCCCTTTGCGCTGCAATGCCAGAATCTTGGGTTGAGCTGCCTCCTTGGACTGAAGTATCACCTCCACCAGAGTCCTCCTTATCTCCCATCGTATTTTAGGTCCCAAATGCGTGATAATGGGCTCTGATACCACTTCTTGGTTAGAGAAGGCTATAAGCAGATGATTCAATGGCTCCTTGGAAATTTCTGCAGCACTTCGTTATGACGCCCAGAAAACTCGCGACCTTCGAAAAGCTATATCCAGAACTCCAATCGGTGAAACGATATGAACATCGGATATGTTGGAGCTTGCAGCGTCAGCTTTCCGCTGAAAGTTAAATCACTCGATTCCGTAGCTTAACGAGTGAGCTATGGCGTTTGGCGCACTGGGGGGTAATCTGCCCTAGGAGAAGTTGACAGTGCTCAGAGTCACTATAATTGAAGCTTACAAGTTCAAGGGCATGATAGAAAAGGCATTGAAGCACAGTTGGAAGGTGGGGATGGAAGGGAAGGATGAAAGGGAAGGACCCTGGAGGCCCATGGTCAAGAACATGACAAGAGTCAAAGTCTTGACTCCCCATCCTCAGGTTCAACCAGCCTGGCAAGACAAAATTCACACTGTGCCAAGTTGGCCTCCAACCCCCAAATGCTGCAGCTGCAAGGTGAGGACAAAAGTCCCACACATGCTGGTCCCTCCTCGTTATAGGGCTCTCCAACTTTGGTCTAGCAGCTGCTAAGGACTTCCAATGAGTTGTAACAAATCCATCAAATACTTCTTCGTAACTTCTTCATATGTGCTCCGATTCCAACAATTCTTGGCTCGTTGAAATGTGCTCGATGTCATGCACAATCCAAGCACATCTGCACAAGCACAAGATGAATATGCAAAGACATGCAAACCCAACAAACCACACAAACAATGTAGCACACAAAACACATGCAACAAAATGATGCAAACCGACGACAGGATGACGTGCAAACGAATATGCATCAACAGCATGGACGGGTAAGGGACAGTGGGGAGGGGCTGGGGGGGAATGGGGGGTGGGGGGGGCAGGGAGGGGGGGGCAGGGAGGGGGGGGCAGGGAGGGGGGAGGGGGAAGTTGATGCTGGGCAGGAGATGTGTAGGGATGGGCATATGGCTCAGAGTTGGTAGACTGTCACTCATTCGCGCCCCTGCCCCTCCCTCTACCCCCCATTTACCCTGCGCACTCTTCTCCCTTGGATCCCTGTTTTCCATTGTGGCCTAATTCCTCTCGTTATTTCATCTGTGCTATCATTCGAGATGTGCAGGTTCATGTGCAGTCTAGACGGACGGGTTGCCCGCCGTGCGTGCTTAGCGACACATTGAGCCGAGTTTCTTGAGTTCGGGGTGATTTGTCTCTTTTACATGAGGCACACAACTAGTTCTGTCCCCAAGCCACTTGCAGTTGTAATTCTTGCCTACGTGCTCCGTTCCAGGCGCTTGGACCACAATTCTTGTGGGCTTCGTTTGTTATATGCTATCTGGCCAGGGTGGATCTTGTAAATGTGTTTGGAGCGACTCCAAGCTTGGCACATCGGCAACAGTCGCATGCAGTGCATTGGGTGCCTTGGTTTATACGGCCCAACCCTGCGACGTACACAGTTCGTGGCCTGCATTTGTTAGAATTTAGGAAATTGGTGGCATGGCTTTGGTGATAAATTCGGTATATGTTTAGGCACGCATACGCCAGCAGGGGATTTTTTTATCGTCGAAGCGCCCCCTGCCAGATTGACCATACCTGTTGTTGTCACGTTTCAATGACGGCTGTGCATTCCTGTCACAAAAGCATGACACCATAGCATTTTCGTACGCGTACCCCCCGTTTGATCTATCTGTAATTGCGTTACTCCAAGACTGGAATAATGACCCCAGTTGTTGTCGTGTTCTAATGACGGTGCCAAAATAAAATATATTATACTACGTCAACATAGATTTTTCTACACGACGGACGCCGCTTGTCGCATTATTTGGTCGGTGCCGAAACACAGTTAAACGGAGATGATAATCAATAGTGTTGTTTGCACATTTTTGTACGAAAATCGCAACGAATCTTGTTGGTGTAGGGGCAGTAACACAATTTTGCGTGGAGTTTCAAAGGCGAAAGCGCTGCGGTTTGATGTGTCCCTCAGGATTCCTGTGGCGGTCAAATACGTGACACGCATGTTACCCAATGCTGGTCACCTGTGGGTGACAACGAATGGAGTTTTGGCCGAGTGGGACACGGGGGACTGGTGCCCTGCGACACGAGGGTTACCCTTATGAGGGATACCCCGAGAATACATGTGCCCATCATGTGGGTAGAATTTTGCAGCGGTCATTTTTCGGATGTTCCCGTCTGATACTCCCATCCACTTCTCCAGAAAGAGAGACAGTCTTTCCTGATATGCCATTCACTAGCCATAGCGGAACGACAATGATGAGGATAATCAACACCGCAGCTAGGTATGGCCTCGCCCTGGGAATCCAGTGGTTGCTATGAGTGAAAGCAGATGCGATGAGCTCGCGAGGATTGTTATGCAAGCGGCGAAAAACGGACACCCACCATCGCTTGTCTAACAGTTTGCAGAAAAAGAGCAACCATTCTCGCCGTTGGGGTGATGGGATCGCGAAGGAGGAGGTGGAAAATTAGGAAATCGGCAGCGAGGACGACCAGTCTCGAGGTTCATGGACAGGTGGAGCGTGAAGAGGAGGAGGAGAGGTGGCCGTTCAAGAACGGAGATATTTCCTCTGCGCTTGATTCGTCTGTTCTGACCATAGTGAACCGGAGCCTGGCGTTTCCGTCACAGCATCATACATACGCCCCCCAGCTTGCAGAATGCGCACTAGGACCACAGGAGGGCGACGTCGATTAAAAGTAGAAAGCACCAACTGTAGACGGAATGGACACAGAGGCACACAAACATATTTCCAAGCGTGCCCACGCCCTATGCGCGAACCAAACCACCCAAACCATCCGTGCTGCGCAACCTAAGCGCAAAAGCACATGACGGGTGGCTTCGACGAGCCGTGCTCAACGGTATCGAGGAACGACCATCGGAGCACAGCCCTCTGTGTTGGCCGCACGCGATGGAAAGGGGCCCAAAACGCGACGAACCCCGCGGACCCCAGAGCATAAAACCTGCCTAGGTGCAGCTGCACACACACTTGCCTCGCCAAAACCCTAACGCGCGAACACCCCCGCACACAGGCCATGCTGCCTAGCCGCGTCCCCCCCTCCCGCCCCCTGCCCCACTGCATACCGACATGGGGCGCCAGTACGCACAAAAGAGTGGCGGATCCGGCACCTACGATCTGTAAGAAATAGAGCTGAAGTGATTGATTAGGTAAGGAGCCCAAGGCTCTATAAGTACATGGCAAGGTAAGGGAGAATGGATGAAGGGGGAATCGGAGGGAATCCCCATTGGAATCTTCGGAATCTCAAATTGGGTAATTGGAGATTTGGGTGATCACAATTGGGTGAGGTTGGGATTTTGTGAGTACACCCCCAACCCACTAGAACATTCGTAACCTAAACTAGGATATAAAAGTACAAATACAATAGTAGGATTTGCAATCTATTTCTAACACACCCCCATAGACTGCAAAACCCGGTCAAGGAGCACATAGCCCCATGGAACGGAGAAGGCGATGGTGGTCAGCCTTGCCGAGAGCCTTGGTAAAGAGGTCGGCGAGGTTGCAATCTGAGGCGATGTACCGTACCGTCAGCTGGTCACTCTGAACAAGATCTCGGATGAAGAAATGACGAAGTTCAATGTGCTTGGTGCGAGAGTGAAACACAGGATCCTTGGTGAGGTGAATGGCACTCTGGTTGTCACACCATAGGGTGGGCGACTGCTGGGGGTAGCCTAACTCAGCAAGGAGAAAGGCGAGTCAGCGTGCCTCTTAAGCAGCCATTGTGCCTGCGTAGAGCTCGGCCTCGCAGGACAACACGGAGACTCCAGAGGACCGAGTGGAACGCCAGCTGATGACTCCGCTACCAAGAGTGAAGCAGTACCCTTGGGAGGAGCGTCTGTAAGTCTGGTCATCGGCCCACGAGGAGTCTGTATATCCCTCGAGCTTGACTGGAGAGGTACCACCAAGAGTGAGGATGTGAGACTTGGTGGCTTGTAGATAGCGGAGGACCCTCTTGGCTGCAGACCAATGTGAGGCAGTGTAGCGTCTGGGGGAGACGTACCGAGAGAGGAAACTAACCGGGTAAGCCAAGTCTGGTCGAGTGCACATCATGGCATACATGAGTGAACCGACTAGCTCAGGGTACGGGTCCTTGCAGGTGTCAGGAGAAGGAACCGAGGGGCCGTGATCTGATGCTGTAGTGGGAGTGGAGTGGAGACAGAGTTACTGGAGTCCATGTCGAACCGCTTGAGAAGGTTGTCGATGTAGGACTCCTGGGAGAGGGTGATCGTGCAAGCCTGGCGGTCACGAGTGATCTCCAACCCCAGGTAGTTCTTGAGGTCACCAGGATCCTTCATGAGAAGGGCGGAGCTGAGAGCAGACTGGACAGCTGCCATCTCGGCTCGATCTCCGACGGCTAGAATGAAGTTGTCGACGTAGACGAGGATGTAGAAGGG